ATTTCTTTTGAGTTTCTTTATGTCTTCAGTTTTCCACGGGCATACTCGTTTAATAAAAACTTTTTTTGAAAATAGTGGAGCTACATGATCCAGGTTTGTTTTCAGTTTGTTAAAAAAATTGACTGACCATTGAATCACAGGAAGCAGTTAAAATAAGAGGGGAATTTTGTTTAAAATCTCTAAAAAAAATTATCAATCACCTCAGGGGTAAGATGGCGCCTCCTAACAGTTCGGACCGTGGCTTTCTGCTGTATCAAATCAGTGACATTAAAAAACACACAATAGTGGTCAGACACAGCCAGGTCAACAACAGAGGACACACCAGAGGTCAAGCCATAGGTAATAACAAGGTCAAGGGTGTGTCCCCTGTTGTGAGTCGGCTGCTTGACGTGCTGAATAAAATCCATACAGTTCAGAGTTTCTAAAAACTGTTTAGACAAAAATCTGATGGATTATCAACATGTAGATTAAAATCACCAGTCACAATAATCTTATTATATTTAGCATGAATAAAACATAAAAACTCTGAAAACTCAGTCATAAAATCAGAAACATGTCCGGGTGGTCTGTAAACAGTAACACAAAGTATTGGCAAGCTGCTAAAAACAAAGGCATGATGCTCAAAAGACGGGTACTGGTCAAATGAAATCTCTTTAACAGCCATTAAATGATTAGATATTGAAACAGTGCCACCACCTTTTCTGCCACTTCGAACATTAAAAGAAAATTTAAAACCAGGTGGAGAGGCCTCAGTAAGAACAACTGGTGCATCGTCACTTAACCAAATTTCTGTTAAAAACAGACAATCCAATTTAAAATCTGAAATCAAATCATTTATAATAAAAGATTTGTTGAAAAGAGAGTGGACATTTAAAACAGCCATATTGAGGGTGACAGGTGAACTGTTAACAGTAGCTGTGGGTGATAAATAATGTTTTGCTAAAGATCTATGGTTATTAAAGTTCACTGAACGAGTATGGTTATGTATGGTTCGCTCCCTGTATGTAATCCGAACTGAAATTAATTGGTCGCTGGGAACAGATGGGCCTGGTCCAATGTTATGTGTACAACAGTTACAAGAGGAGCTATAAGAGCCAGGACCATGTAGACGTCAATCAGTAGCAGACTGGTCAGATATAGTGACATGGTTACCAGGTATGGATGGTGAGGTTGTGTGCTGTACCTTGTAGTCCAGATTGGCAGTTAGAGTATGGGTACCTGAGTTGTTCAGATGGAGGCCATCAGTCCCAAAAAGATGTCTCCTTCCCCAGAAAACATCAAAATTTTCAACAAAGTTTACATTTTGGAGGATGCAAACAGAAGACAGCCAGGTGTTCAAGCTGAGAAGTCTGCTGAAGCGGCCTATTCCTTTGCTACAAGTGGGAAGGGGACCAGAGATAAAAACTTGCAGTTGAAACTGTAGAACAGTGCCAAGTAGATGAATAAAATCCTGTTTCAAATATTCAGACTGCTGTTTGGGGATGTCATTGGTGCCTACATGGATGATGAGTCTTTTAGCCTGTGGATGTGATTTAATGATTTCCAGGAAAATAAAATGAAATGAAGTGAAAGTCTTGACATTGACATTTGTAGTAAGTGGCGAAGCAGCATATGAAGTGAATGTACACAGTGTATGTATGAAGTCCTTGATATTGGTATAGGTAAAGTGACATATGCAATAAGGCTAGGAAATATATATATATCAACGGTAGTGTAATATAAGCAGCAGTGTGAATAGAAGCAGTAGTGCAAATGTAAACAGTAGTGTGAATGTAAACAGTGTGAATGTAAACAGTAGTACGAATGTAAACAGTAGTGTGAATGTAAACAGTAGTATGAATATAAACTGTAGTGCAAATGTAAACAGTAGTGTGAAAGTTTTGTGTGTTAAGGCGGTACAAGAGGGAGGGGAGGCAGAGAATGCAGAGAGTTCAGAATCCTGACTGCCTGATGAACAGAGCTGTCTCTCAGTCTGCTAGTTTGAACCTGGAGACTTTGCAGTCTCTTCCCTGATGGCAGCAGGCTGAAGAAGCTGTGTAGTGGGTGTGTGAGATCACCCGCCATGCAGAGGGCTTTCCGAGTGAGGCGGGTACTGTGTAAGTCATGTAGTGAGGGGAAGGAGGTGCTGACGATCTTCTCGGCTGCTCTCACGATGCGCTGGAGTGTCTTGCGGCAGGATGCAGTACATGCACCGAACCGCACCATAATGCAGCTGGTCAGGACACTCTGCACCCCTGTAGAAGGTGCACATGATGGGGGTTGGAGCTCCAGCTCTTTTCAGCTTGCGGAGAAAGTAGAGGCTCTGGTGAGCCTTCTTCTCCAGTGATGCAGTGTTCCTGCTCCAGGACAGGTCCTCTGAGACGTGCACTCCCAGAAACTTGGTGCTGCTCACTCTCTTCACAGTAGTACCATTGATGGTCAGAGGAGCATGCTGGGTGTGCTTCTTCCTGAAGTCCACAACAATCTCCTTTGTCTTATCCACGTTCAGAGAGAGATTGTTGTGTCCGTACCACAAGGCCAGGCGGCTCACCTCGTTCTTGTAGTCTGTCTTATCGTTGTTGCTGATGAGACCCACCACAGTTGTATCATCTACAAACTTGACAAAGTAGTTGTTGGATGATGATGGTGTGCAGTCGTGTGTCAGAAGGGTGAATAGAAGTGGGCTCAGCACGCATCCTTGGGGGGCCCCTGTATTCACTGTGATGGTGCTGGATGTGTTACTGCCGACCTGTACTGCCTGTGGTCTCCCGGTCAGGAAGTCTAGCAGCCAGTTACACAATGAGGTGTTCAGCCCCAGACTGTCCAGTTTAAGGATGAGCTGTTGGGGATGATGGTGTTGAATGCCGAGCTGAAGTCAATGAACAGCGTTCTAACATAAGAGTCCTTAGTGTCCAGATGTGTGAGGGCTGTGTAGAAGGCATAGGAGATGGCGTCGTTGGTCGAACGATTTGGCCGATTTGCAAACTGGAAGGGATCCAGGGAGGCAGGAAGGACAGAGTTGATGGGCTTCATGACTAGCCGTTCGAAGCACTTCATCAGGATGGAGGTGAGTGCCACTAGACGATAGTCATTGAGGCAGGAGGGCAATGCCTTCTTTGGGAGAGCGATGATAGTGGTGGCTTTGAAACAGGTGGGGACGATGGTCTGACTCAGCGAGATGTTAAAGATATCCGTGAAGACCGCTGCAAGTTCCACTGCACAGTCCTTCAGCACACGACCAGGTATGTTGTCAGGACCAGAAGCTTTTCGGGCGTTGATCTTGATGAATGATTGCCTTACACTGTCTGTTAACAGTGTCAGCACCTAGTCATCGGGAGAGGGGGAGAGTTTATCTGCAGGTGTGCTGTTACATGCCTCAAACCAAGAAAAGAAGTCATTCAGCTCATTCAGCTTAGAGGTTGTGCTGTCACAGGTTTGTGGGGCTGGCTTGTAGTTCGTGATGGTCTGTATTCCCCGCCACAGACTCTGTGTATCTTTGCTGTCACTGAAGCGATGAGCTATCTTCCTGGAATACTGCTTCTTGGCTTTTCTGATGCCCCAGGACAGGTTATTTCTGGCTGCCCTCAGGCCTACCTGATCTCCTGCTGTGAAGGCAGCGTTTCTGGCTCTCAGGAGTCTGTAGACCTCTGCTGTCAGCCATGGCTTCTGATTTTCCCGAACAGTGATGGTCTTGAGGTCAGTTACATCATCAATACACTTGGTGATGTATGAACATACAGTATCTGAGTACTCTTGAAGACCTGTGTTGTTGTTTTTGGTAGCAGCTTCTTTGAACATATTCCAATCTGTAGTGTTGAAACAGTCCTGAAGAGCTTCTGAAGAGCCCTCCGGCCACACTTGTACCTGCTTGAAGACTGGTTTGGTGACTTTAACCAGTGGTCTGTATGCTGGCATTAGCATAACACTGATGTGATCAGAGACGCCGATGTGGAGGAGGGGAAGGGCCTTGTGGCCTCCTTTCATGGTGTTGTAAACTTGGTCCAGTGTATTGTTTCCTCTTGTTGGAAAGTCTATGTGTTTGTATGTCTTTGGAAACACACTCCTAAGATCTGCATGGTTAAAATTGCCAGCCAAGATGAGAAAAGCATCAGGGTGGGCTGTCTGCTGCTCACTGATGTGTAGATACAGTTCATTTAGTGCCTCACTTCTGTTTTTGTTGCTGGAGCTTGGAGGTATATAAACAGTGACGATTATAACAGCTGTAAATTCCCTCGATAAATAGAATGGTCGGCCTTTAATAACCATAAATTCCACTAAAAGTGAGCAGTGTTTGTAGACCACAGCAGCATCACAACACCAAGCATTGTTGATACAAACAGAGCCTGCCGCCGCGGGTCTTACCTCCCTCAATGCGAGCTCTGTCCGCTCTGTAGCATGTTAGCTGCTCGAGCTGAATATTATGGTCCGGAACATTGTTATTAAGCCATGTTTCCATGAACACAAAAACACAACAGTCTCTCACAGTCTTCTGTGTTGTTTGTAGTAGGCGTATATAATCCAGTTTATTGTCCAAAGAGCGTACGTTAGCCAAAACCATGGATGGGACGGCCGGCTTGTGTGGGCTAGCTGCTAGCCTAGCTCGGATACCTCCGCGCTTATCCCACTTCTGCTTCCTGTCGCACCGCTTATGGCACTTCCACTGTGGGCGTGATGGAGTGAGGGTCGGTGATGGTACCGGCTTCCAGAGCAGGCCGCAGTCACGTAGCTCTTCTTCGAGTTTGCTGTTTATTCCTAAAAGTGGGTTTTTTCCGACATCAAGCAGGAACTCACGGCTATACTTGTGTTTTAGGACATGTAGACATGACGAAGATATACAAGCACATTCCAGCTCGCAGGACAAAGAAAACGAAAACACTGTTTTGTCGGGGGAGAGAGAAGCCGCAGCATGTGCGCGCGCCGCCATCACAGAATGACATTATTGTGACATTTATGCTGTGATTAATAATGCTTTTTTGTTGTTGTTTCTGAGATTGATTAGCATAATGTTTGCTTCTTCGCAGGGCGGTTGATAACCAGGTGTTTGTGGCTACAGCTTCCCCTGCCCGAGATGAAGCTGCCTCCTACATGGCCTGGGGTCATAGCTCTGTTGTGAACCCATGGTAAGAAAACAACTAGAGCCCGACCGATATGGAAATTTTTGCTATCGCCAATACTGATATTGTGGGGGTGGGGGAAAGGCGAATGCCGATAACCAATATAATGCCTGACAATTTTTTTACTTTGTCCATCCCCAAGAATCAAATGCCCCTTTTCCGTAGTACCGGTACAGCACGGTCCGACTTGGTTCGGTACGGTACATGTTGTGTTTACATAATGCTTTCAGTACCGGTTCCATTGGGCAGGGTTCAAATTAACGTCACACGCTTCACCAGCTGGTGGCAGTAAGATCTTTAAACAGGTTTCAGTATAGGGTGAGAATTTATTTTGAAGTTTCTGGTAAATTAAAAAGAATACAGATTATTAAAATGATTGAA